CCCCCCCTCCCTCTCTCTATCTCTCTCACTCACCATATCCTTTTTCGTTGTTGATTTCGCCCAAAATACTTTGAAACTTGGAGATTTTATACTATTTCAAATCTTAGGTTTAAAATAATCAATGTGAAGCGAATCAAGTTGCCCTCTTTCTCGATTTCGGGTGTCATGTATATTTCTGTAGATGCATTTTCAGTACTGTAAAATTTGGTAATCTATTACCATGAAAGACATAAAATTTTGTATAAATTTTGTTGCAGTTGAATAATCTTGAGCTTGCTGTCAATCTTGCCAAAAACGGAAACTTTCCTGGTGCTGAGAATTTGGTAAGTTAAAATCATGTTTCTTAAGGCACTATATTTTTAAATGGTGGGATATTTTGAATTTGGTATATTCATTATATAAGGATTATTACCAGCTATAAAGTGGAAAGAGAGAAGTGGAATTACGAAAAGTACAACAAATCTGTTAATACTCTGGGTCAGGGAAGAAATCTTCCACCATTTAACAGAACCATAAGCTAATATCATAGCCACATAATGTGGCACAACAACAGTCATAACATGATAGAAATCAGATAAAGTTATCATCTTTGGCTAGTTTCTTGAAATACCCAGATCAAGTAAACATACAAAGAATACAGAATAGTTGGGAAATAGAAGAAGGTTGATGAGTAGGAAGAGGGAAGAAGTAGGGTGTGCTGTGTTAGTTAATATAAGCAAAGTTATGGAGAAGCATGTATTTTGGTTTATGGGGTTTTGGGGAGTTTGCAGAAAAGAGCAATATTTTTTGGCATTACAAATAAAAACAACAAAACAACAACAACAACCCAGTGTAATCCCACTAGTGGGGTCTGGGGAGGGTAGTGTGTATGCAGACCTTACCCCTATCCCGGAGGAGTAGAGAGGTTGTTTCCGAAAGACCCTCGGCTCAATAAGACAAAAGGACAAAAGAACAAAAGGAAACAATATTAGAGATACAGAAAATATAGCTTTGAGAGTTGGGTGGAGGAAAAAACTTACCCGCACCGGGTGTTTACACTATGTTAAGTTAAGTTAACCATAGAAAGAAACTATATAGTTGAGATGATAAAACATTGGTTAATTTTTGTTACAGCAGTTTCATGGGAAAGGGACAGAAATGGGATAGACAATATGGATAATATTATGAGATGGACAATAGAAAATAGTGGATAATATGAATTCTATTCATATTTATGTACTGACAAATTTAATGAGTTTGCATTTCTCAAAAGGCCTTCTGTCATTGGAATTGAAGTTCAGACTTGTCTTCAAATCGATTTGACTACCAAAAACTTAACAAAATAACAAGATTGAGCAACATAAAACAACTTGAAAGATTACTAATAATTATATCTAAATATTGGTTGAAGCACAAACCACAATATGAAGGTTTAGATAGTTACAAGGCAAACAACTTGAAAGAAGTTATTTTCCACCATTTGATGGTAAATGCTTAGTTGAAAAACACTCTTTATTATCAACCAAACATTAGAATTTCCTAAAACTGAATCTTTTTTCCTAAGAGTATAAATGTTAAACTATTATGATAAAGTTCTCCGTTTCTTTATTCATTTATTTATCTAATTATTTTATCTTGTATTGTGTAATAGATGGAACAAAATCGTAGATGGATGTATGATCGAAATCATCCTAATCGTGGGGAGTTGAAGGAAGAATTTGTAGAAGGTGTTAAAGGATTTATTGCTTATGCAAAAACACTTCTTGAATTCCGTGATGAAGGAACAATTAGATGTCCTTGTGCTAAGTGCAAATGTATAAAGTTATTGATACCGGGGGATGTTAAAGTTCATCTTTACAAAAAGGAGTTTAGAGAAAATTATTATGTGTGGACCGTTCATGAAGAGAACTACAGTAATTTAACTGACGTTGACTTTCAGAATCTTACTGGTTGTGAGAGTAGTACATTCTTTGAGAAAAATTATGATAATTCTCAAATGCATGAAATGGTGTTGAATGCTTTTGGGATACACCCAAGAGTTCAATCCCAACAAAATGTTGATGAGTCTCCCAATGATGAGGCAAAACACTTTTATGAATTATTAGAGGCGGCTAGTCGTCCACTCTATAAAGACTCGAAGTTGTCAGTTGCAGTTAGATTACTAACTATCAAATCGGATTGGAATATTTCCCAAGCGGCCATGAATGCTATAATTGGGCTTATGCGTGAAGTTAGTCTGAACATTAACTTACCAGGTGATTACTATAAGGCTAAGAAGTTAGTTTCCAAGTTAGGACTTTCCTCTACAAAAATTGATTGTTGTGAAAAAGGTTGTATGTTATATTATAAAGATGATGCGGCTCTAGAAGCGTGCAAATTTTGTGGATTGTCTCGTTTTAAGAAAGTCACAAATGCCAAAGCAAAGAAAGTTCCAATTAAGAGGATGCATTATTTACCTATTATACCTAGGTTAAAGAGATTGTATGCATCAATGAGTTCCGCTCCTCATATGAGATGGCACCATGAAAATAGAAGGGCGCCTGGTGTTTTGTGTCATCCTTCAGATGGAGAAGCGTGGAAGCATTTTAGTGGAAGGGATGGTGTTTTTGGCTGCAATCTAAAGGTATACATAAGCATTCTAATGGCAAAAAGTTTTAGTTATGGTTAAAAACACTCCGACAATTATGATGACTATTCACTAAGGACTAATGACCTAATCAGAATTTTATGATTATTGAAAAATAAAGATACTTACTTGCATAAATTTTCTTTAATAAAATTTACTTTTATAATACTTGTAATTTTTACAAGATAATTTCAAACAAATCTTGGAGGAGTTCATTCAAAGCCAGCCGATTGATGATCAAGGTAGGCCAATCCAACCAACCCAGAAGGAGATCATGGACATGTGGATTAAGGCAGCTGGTGGTGTGCATAAGGAGAAAGTCTACGGCCTTGGATCAGAGTTTAGTCTCGGTCGTCGTACTTCTGGATTGTCTGGTTCTTATTCTTCGTCACATTGCTCGGTTGATCTGGATGAGTTTGAGCAATTGAATAGGAAGGTAGCGAAGATTACGGAGTTGTATCTTCAAGAAATGGCTGCAAGGGAAGAAGAGGCAAAGCGAAGGGAGGAAGAAGATAGGCAAAGAGAGGAAGAAATGAGGCGAAAGGACGATGCATTAAGACTTGACACTAGTGACGTTAAAAGTCTCAAGTGTCAGATAAACTCCCTCTTAGCATCTGGCGCATTTCCTGTGCCCCATTCTCCAGCATCTGATGATAACTAAGGAGTAGTTTCTTTTATTAGTTTGTCTTGGATGGTACTTGGATGTTGAATATTGAATGTTGAATTTTTGTTCTACTTTTGGATTAGTTGGATTAATTATGAAATTGATTGATTAGTTGTTGTTTATGCAATGAATTGAATTGCATGTTGAATTTGGTATCTAAATGCTTAATTGTATTTAGTCTTGTATTGTGGTTATACTTTCTGATTGGTAGGTGGTTTAGTTCTAAAAACAGATTTGGCCATGAAGATATTTTCCAAATTTCCCACGGATTTCCCACCGACTCCGTGGGAATTTTGTGCATTTTTTTCCCGGAATTCACAACATTTTCCACTGATTTTTGTGGGAATGCTCATATGTTTATATCCAGCTTATGCATCTTTCCCACTACTTCCATGGGTAAAATAAAAAAAAATATCTAAATTATTTTTAGTATTTCCCACGGATTAGGCGGGAAACTTAAGAAAATTAAATAAAATTATTTTCTTACTTTTCCCACGACGTTCGTGGGAAGTTGTACATGGTGACCGCACCAAACCATCACTGGGAAACTCGCTGGGAATTAGCCACGAATGTCATGGGAAACTATTTTCCCACCAACCATTTTCCCACCGAGCGTCTCTCCTGGGAATGTCGTAGGAATATTGAAATTTCACACAGATTTCCCACCGATTCTTCCTTGGAAAAAGACTTCATTTCTAGTAGTGAGTGAAAGCTTCATCTCTGTCACAAATTCTTCATGGTATCAGAGCGGCGATCGTGAGGATCTGATCCGGCGAGAAGCTCCAGCGAAATTGAAATAATTTTTGGCAGATATGGCTTGAAACGAGGTAAGCTCGCTCGACCATAATCACCTGCTATTTCGTCAAGCAGGAGACACTCCATGACTAGTTTTAATCCCAATTAAGCTCACAAGGCCAGAAAATTATGCTCTGTGGAGTAGGGCAACGAAGCTGGCTTTTAGAGGAAAAGGTAAGCTTGGATTTGTTGATGGTTCTTGTACTAAAAGTAGGTACATAGGTGAATTGGTTGAGCAATGGGAAAAATGCAACGCGATAGTATTGTCTTGGACTGGAATTACAGTTTCGAACCAATTGATGCCAGGGATCGTTTATGCCTCAGATGCTAGGAAGGTATGGAATGATTTTCAAGAGAGATTTGATCGTTCAAACCTAACAAGGATCTATTACCTTTGGCCTGAGATTGCAACGATGAGACAGGGAACAGATTCAGTGACCAGCTATTACACTAAAATGAAAGATCTAATGAATGAATTGGATGTTTTGGCCCCAATTTCTTGTTGTGATTGTGAAGAGTCAAGAACTTCAGTTGAACATGTGAAGTATCAGCGTATGTTGCAGTTCCTTATGGGCTTGAATGAAAACTATAGAAATGTGAGGAGTAACATACTAGCACGGAGACTAGTAGTTACTATTAATGAAGCCTATGCAATTGTATCACAAGACGAAAGCCAAAGAACACTTGGTGTGGTAGATACACATAGGAATCCACTCACTATGTTAGTAGGAAGGGTATAAGGAATCAAACCTAAAGGCACACAGTTGATTTGTTAACATTGTTGGTATACAGGTTATTTGAAGAAAAATTGCTACAAAATTGTAGGTTATCTCCCAGATTTTAAGAGTAAGAAGAAAACTGGACAATTTGTTGGAGTTACAGGCCAATAGGGTGGCAGAGTACAACCTAGTGGAGGATTCAAACCATATGCCAATAATGCAACTACTGAAGCTCACCTGCAAGGACATTTCTTCACTGAGGAAGAATACTCACAGTTGATGGACCTCTGTCACGATCCAAAATCCACTAAGGATCGTGATGGCACTGGACACCACTATCAGGCAAGCCAACACCAAGAAGTTAATTAAATTCTCATTTTAGTATTTATTGAAATCATTCCTTTTATACATTAAACATTAAATAATGAAATTCATAGAAATAAGATGATGTCTTTAACAAACTTAATATTTAATAATCTCACAATCATCCCAGAATCCAGTGTCACAAGAGCATGAGCTATTTCTAGGAAATCAAATGAAGTGCAATAACTGTCCGTAATACAAATTGGACAGAAAATAAATACTATACACTGAAAGAGACTATACCAGCTGCGGATCGCCTCGAGAGATGCAGTTCACCTAAGTCTCAGTATCATCCATGTTGCTACGCCCATTAGGCCACTAAGGGTACATGTGCTTGTGCAACAAAAATGCAGAGCAAGTGTAGCATGTGTACAAAAACAACGTGTACTCAGTAAGTATCCTGTCTAATCTCGAAGAAGTAGAGATGAGAGGTCGACTTCGAAACTTAGTAGTGGTCGAATAATAATATACCAATAATATAGTAAATCGAGGGTTTTTATAAAAAAAAATGGTTGTAATTCAATAGCATGAAGCAAGTAAATAATTCTCTTATGCATAGGGAAATTTCCAAATTTGTTTTCATCATTTATACATTTATTCTCACTCTGGGGAAGCAATATCCTCATTTATAAATATCAAGGCAAGCAATACAAGCATGCGCAAATCATAATGAGGACGTACGGCTCGATCCAACAATATTAAAACTGTGCACTGCCAGAGGGTCGAATGGCGCGAACCATAAATGCATCTATTTAATCTACCGAGGCGTTCGGCCCGTTCCACAATAGATAAACATATTCAAACAGTCAAATCAAGAATTTATCAAGGAGCAATTATTCAGGAAAAGGCAAGTTTTTCTTTTAAAAGTCAAGAAGTGATATCTAGCCTTGTAGAAATTTATTTATACATTCGATATGTGTTTAAGAATTTTTAAATTGACAACAAGGTTGCAAATATTACAAGTAAAGCATGCTTTTGGGCCCTAGACTACCCGGACTTAAGTATAATAGTAGCTACACACGGACTCTCGTCACCTCGTGCATACGTAGCCCCCACAAATAGGAGCACATAATCAGTTAACTCACCTATAGGGACAATTCTCTCTTACAAGGTTAGAAAGGAGACTCACCTCGCTTCGAAGTTCCATTACCGTCATTCTACGCCCTTCCGAGGACTCAAATTGATGCACAACTCTCCCAAAACTAGCCAATAATTATGTAAACTCATTAATATATGTTCAGTTACTCATAATAATCTAATTTATAATAATCCTTAACCCCGATCGAAAAGTTGACAAAAATGCCCTCGGGCCCACGTGCCCGGATTCTGAAATTTTTTGTAGATAAGCTTTACCCACTATCTCACGAACTCAAATAAATAATTTACTTTCAATTTCATACCCAAAATCGTGATCAAAATCCAAAAATACAAATTCTAGGTCTTTCCACTAAAACCCCAAGTTTCTACCAATTTTCATACTTTAGTCCATAATAATACCATGTATTTAACTCACAAGGGGTAGAATTAACTTACCTCATTTTTGATGAAGAAATCCCCCTCTTCAATGGCTCTAAACTCACCCAACCGAGAAGAAAAAATGAAGGATAATGGGCAAAATCCCAATTTTTAAAGAACTCACTGCCTCCAACACTTTCGCACCTGCGGTTACTTGACCGTTTATGTGGCTCCGCAGGTGCGGCCCACTACCGCATCTACAGTCCTTCACCAGGATCCCTCCTTCCGCTTTTGCGCTTCTCCTTTTGCAGGTGCGGTCTCAGCCTTCTCCCTTCTCAGCCGCATCTACGCCCCTTTGGCCGCTTCTGCGGCTCCGCACCTGCGGCCAAAATCTCGCAGGTGCGGTTACACAAGATGACAATAGGCTTCAACTCTTCCTCCCAACTCCAAATTAATCTGATAACCACCCGGAATCTACCCGAGGCGGTGCCCCGTCTAATCACACCAACCGGTCCTATAACATAACGGGAACCTGTTTGAGGCCTCAAATCACATAAAATAACGCTTAAACCATGGATCGCTCTTCAATCTAAGCTTAATAAACTTTAGAATTTAAAACTTCAACATTCGATGCCGAAACCCATCAAATCACATCCGATTGACCTCAAATCTTGCACACAAGTCACACTCGACATTACGGACCTACTCCAACTTTCGGAATTGAATTTCGACCCCGATATCAAAAAGTCCACCTCCAATTAAACTCCTCAAAAACCTTCAAATTTCTATCTTTAGCCAAATGACCCCAAAATGACCCATGGACCTCCGAATTCACTTTCGATCGCGGTCCCAACACTAGAATCACCATACGGAGCTATTCCTGGACTCGGAATCCCAAACGGACATTGATAACGCTGAAATGCACTGCAACCCAAACTTATGAAATTCTTCCAAAAATGATAACCTTCACAATAGGTGCTGAAATGTTCACGGGTCTTCCAAAACCCGATCTAGATATATGCTCAAGTTCGAAATCATCATACGAACCTGCTAGAACCTTCGAATCCTGATTCCAAGGTCATTTACTCAAAAATCCAGTCTTAATCGATTCTTTTAACTTAAAGCTTCCGAAATGAGAATTCTCTTTCCAAATCAGCTTCCAACTTCCCGAAATTCTATTCTGACCATGTGTACAAGTCATAATACCTGAAATGAAGCTGCTCATGGCCTCAAACTGTTGAACGACGCGCTAGAGCTTAAAACGACCGGTCGGGTCATTACAACCTCCTAAACAAGCCACCATTAAATGATAGCACCTCAAATGTGATGGCAGGTACTGTTACATTATTATCTAGTACCTACGCTTGTGAATGGATAATTGATTTTGGAGCATCTCATCATATTACACCATGCAAGGAACTGTTAGATAAACTAAGAAGCTTAGAAAAAACAACAAAATAGTAGAGTGCAGGTGCCAACAGGAAGTAGATCTTCCATAGCATGTGCAGGAAGTACATTGCTTTTAGGAAGCAAAAGATCACAAATGTACTACATGTCCCAGATTTCAAATTCATTTTGCTTTTAGTGTCAAAGTTAACCAAGGAATTGCTGTGTAAAGTCACTTTCTTCCCTAACTTCTGTGTGTTTCAAGGACTCTACGATGTCAAGGTAATAGGGTTTGGTAGAGAGAGTAATGTTTTTTACATTCTACAAAGAGAGTTCAAACCCACAGTAGGAGTAGCAGTAACTAGATAAGTGAATGAAGTAGAACTATGGCATCTTAGATTGGGACATCCATCAACAGTTGCTATGCAACATATTCCTAGCTTAAAGAATAAAGTCAATAATACAGTACAGGAGAACTGCTCAGTATGCCCAATGGCAAAGCAGATCAGGTTAAGCTTTCCTGTTAGTAAGAGTAAATCTAGTAGTATTTTTCAATTGATTCATGTTGATGTCTGGGGACCCCATAAAAAGGCTACATTTGAAAGAAAATAATATTTTGTTACTATAATAGATGATTACAATAGATATACTTGGGTCTATTTGATTCAATCCAAATGTGAAATTTCAATTGTACTTAAAAACTTCTTAGTGATGGTTAAAAATTAGTTTGATATTTTTGTAAAAGTACTAAGATCAGACAATGGCACAGAATTTTTAGTTCACAATGTAATGAGATGTTATCTTCTTTTGGGATAGTTCATCAAAGTAGTTTTGTCCATGCACCTCAACAAAATGGAATAGTTGAGAGAAAGCATAGACATATCTTAGAGGTAGCAAGGGCTCTTAAAATACATAGTTCAGTTCCAGTTAAATTTTGCGGAGAGTGTGTGAAAACTGCAGTCTAGTTGATCAACAATATTGAATGAGGTGGATGCTCCTCCTCTAACAATTATGAGTGACAAAAAACTATAAGAAATTGAAGACTTTCTCGGATCTGGTGGAAATAACAAGGAATAATCCAAAAGACGAATCTCTTTAGAAAGGTGTTCTTTGTATGTTTCTAGAAAGGCTTACTTTTCAAAAGAGTTCTTATTACATAGTATATTACATGTCTTTTGTTTTATCTCTCATTACATTTATATGGGACATTCCCCAAAGGACCTTAAAAGTACAAATACAGAGAATATTTAACGGAATATACCTTCTGAGGATCCTAATACAAAACTAGTTGTTACTACTGCTCATGACACTCGACCTCGGTTGTGACTGACTACCTGGGCAACACGTTATGTTAACCACTGGTCATCCTCGGCCAAATCTCTCATGATAATCACGAATAACTCATGATAATCATCTCTTCGTGCTGAATTTCCTCAGTCAAATTTTGACCCATACTATAATGACCCGACTGGTCGTTTTGAGATCTAGTGCATCGTTCAGCAGTTTGAGGCCATGAGCAGCTTCACTTCAGGTATTATGACTTGTGCGCACGATCGGAATTGAATTCCGGGAAGTTCGTAGTTGATTTGGAAAGAGAATTCTCATTTCGGAAGTTTTAAGTTGAAAGAATTGACTAAGATTGGATTTCAGAGTAAACGACCTCGGAATCAGGATATGAAGGTTCCAGTAGGTTCGTATGATGATTTCAAACTTGGGGGTATACCCGGATCGGGATTTGGAAGACCCGGGAATGTTTCGGCACCTATTGTGGAAGTTAGCATTTTGGAAGAATTTCATAAGTTTGGGTTGAAGTGCATTTCAGTGTTATCAATGTCCATTTGGGATTTTGAGTCAGGGAATAGCTCTGTATGGTGATTCTGGTGTTGGGAGCGCAATCGAAAGTGAATTCAGAGGTTTGTGGGTCATTTTGGAGTCATTTGGCTAAAGATAGAAATTTGAAGGTTTTTGAGAAGTTTGACCAGAAGTGGGCTTTTTGATATCGGGTCTGTAATGGCAAATATGACTTGTGTGCAAAATTTGAGGTCAATCGGACGTGACTTGATAAGTTTAAACACT